CTCCCCAGGTGCAACACCTTACACTTGTCCGTGTTAAACCCCATCCTGTTCTCCTCCGCCCATCCTTGTAACCTATCTAGGTCTAACTGTAGCCTGTTGCTCCCCTCAATTGTGCCCACATCTCCCCACATCTTAGTGTCATCAGCAAACTTGAACAGGGTGCTTTGCACCCCCTCGTCCAAATCACTGATGAAGATATTGAACAGTGCAGGCCCAAGGACTGAGCCCTGTGGGACCCCACTTCCCACGTCCTTCCAGGTCAAGAAAGACCCATCCACTACCACCCTCTGGGTGCGACTCTCTAACCAGTTGGCGACCCATTGGACTGTATGGGTGTCTACGCCACAAGTCCTGCCAGCCGGTCAGGTGACAGGAAGAGGAAGGCCAAGCTCCTACAAACGGCAAGTGAAGAAGGCCAGAGAAGCAGCACGGAGGTGGGCTCCAATGACTACAGTGCCATGGCTGCAGTTTCTGTCAGAAGACTACACCATGCCTTGAACCATCCTCATGATCATCTAAAGTAAGCAAGCATGTTACTTTTTTTGTTTAATGTTAACACCGGTGGTTTGGGTGAGGCTATTTGGGGAAGGAGGAGGCCTCATTGGGGGCTCACTGCAGTGTGGGCACCCCAGCGCCAGACAGGGGGCAATATTCAGGGGTGAGCTGACCCTTGTGCTAGAGAGGGCACAATATTTGGAGATGAGCTGACCCCAGCGCCAGAGGGGGCACAGTATTTGGGGGTGAGTAGACCCCAGCATCACAGAGGGGCCAGAGCCTGAGGGTTTTTTTTTGAGAGCTAGAGCCTGGGAGTCAAACCCTGATTAGTGGGGTTTTTTGACTCACAGGCCTAGCTAGAAAAAAAAGGGGTAAGCCCACCATGGCCAAGATCCCAACATAAATAGGAATTTACAAATACCATCTGTGAGGCTTGGGCTGCAGTGTAGGGAAGGAACAGAGCTGCAGATAGCGCCCCCTGGCATCAGGGCATACAATGGGCAGCCTCCCACTTAATTAACAACAATTAACAACAAGGCGTGGTAGGCGAGAAGGCGGGCGGTTGGCCCATAACAGGTAGGCGGGGCCACCAGTAAACTGACCCCGAGGAGGCCGCCCTGTTACACATACATTATATGGGATTAATATAGTGGTTCCTTTATACACATATTATTAGTTCTAATTTCAACAGGGCAGTGCCCCAATTTAACACAGTACTTGCTTGAAATCAACTAGTATGCTCACATGCTTGGCACACACTGACAAACCTTAACAAATACAGACACTCCTATCGAATATTTATTCTAAAACTAACAACAGGCAAAAATCTCTCCAGCTAGGTTACTGAGTGCCTATACCTTTATTGTCTGTCTTAATTATTATTTTGGACCCCAGGCATTTAAATATAAGCTGTAAATGTAAAAGTAGATCACAACAAAAAAATAATAATTACCACAAATTTCCCAAAATTAAAGGAAGGAAACTCTTTAGCTAAAATAGGATTCTTTCTAGTGTTCACTGTGGCTAAGTACAGACAGTCAAAAAGTCTGAGGCTGAATTGATTCAGTTTTCACAGGTTTATTTAAGCTGTGTAGATTGAACTGATAAGCAAGTGAACAGACATTCACTTTTGATTCCGGAAATGTAGCCAAATGCCTGCAGTGGCACAAGCCAGAAGCCAGGGGGTACTAGAATATGCCTCCCTGCTTGGTTGGAGCAGACAGCTTGGGCCAAGCCTAGCCCGCCCACGCTGCAAGGGGGATTTGTGGGGGAGGTGCAAAGTATCCTGAGATGCTGGGGGACTGTAAATTACCTTGAATCTGGAGGGGATCTGGGACAGAAGTTCAATAAACTGATTTAACCTAAATCAGTTAATTCTGATACTACATCCATCTAGGCTTATCTTAAACTGGTTTTGACCATTTTGAAAGTGGTGTATGTGCACTGAACATCTGTGGTGTTACAGATCTGAACCAGTTTCCAATCACTTGTGTGTAGCTTTCAATCATGGTTTGTGTGTAATTTCTGTCCCTAGTCTGGGTCTTTTCACTAGGGTGCACAAAGACCAAAAAAACGGTCACACTTTCTACAATATTACTTAGCTTGATTCCAAGTTTTATTAATCTTTAGATATGCTGTTTTAGGAATCAGAAAACTTAAACTGTTGGCTGTTTTATATAATAGTCTCAGTGTCCTAGGACATTTTGTTCTCCCAGTCTTACCTCAGTTTTTGATAGGATTTCAAGAGCTTTGCCCCAATTGTTTCACGTCTACCTATAAAGGAAAAAAAAAGACACACAAACACAGTAGTTAGTAGCAATAACCCTAATAGTGATACTATAACACTTTTCAGATACAGAGTGCTTTCAGGCAATGGGCTAAATTTCCAGAAGTTCATGCATATGCAAACTCTTATGAGATTTACCTCTTGCAATTGGCAGCACAACCCCCAAGCACACTTAAATCCCATCTATGCCAAAAAAAACCCTGTAGTATTAATTTAGCTCATCCTCTCCTCAGAGATATTTTAGTAACAATATTAATCTCAAACTCAGATAAATGATCTCCAGCAATTTCTAGACAGTGGGCCTAGCAGTCCGAGGATTTACTGGGACCTGATTAGCACATTGGTCATAGACTAGGCCACTGAATGGGAGTAATTTTGACCTATAAACCACAAACTCACTAAAAGACTAAAAGCTTGCTTTAATCAGATGCTACAAAGTATGCCAAAATAAGCTTTTGTCTGTGAAAGCCTATGCTTCTTTGAATTAACCTATAAGGTACCCTCTGCCTCGCTTGAGACTAACACGGCTTACTGGAGCATTCATGCTAGAAGCCTGTTCACCTTTTATAAGGCTGTTTTAGTTTTTCACACAGTAGGTTTGAACAAGTATAAATATGCACAAATAAATCCCAAACACTCTGGTCAGCTAGCTCACCCAATCACAGAGCAGAAGCAAAATTGCATGATTTATGGGACCAATCACAAGACAAAAAACAACTGCAAATATTTGTTTGGTCACAAACAAATTAAATAAAAATTACAAACTGTTCATGAATAATGAAAAAACAGAAAAGGGCTAAGTTTATATAATAAATGGGAAACTGAAAATAATTGGCTCAAAGTTATTGCTAAATCTCTCTTAATATTATCAGCATGTAACCAATAATGCAGCTTTATGGTATTATTGTGCTTTGTTTTGCAAAAGATGCATCATTAAAAATAATTATATATAAAGTAAATCAACTTTAAACATGAGAGCTTGATGTTGATAATAAACAGCAATAATTTTTCTTCATGTCATAATGCTTAACAAGTGCTCTTGGTATAATGCAGTTTTGACAATCAATGGCTATTATCAATGAGTAATGCCTAGTATCTTAATTTATTAATGCCTGAAATTACTTTTTAGCTTACCAATTTATTATTTAGTAAAAGCAGCCTATCATTTTTTATGAAAAGGTGTTGCTTAAATCATAGTTCAGTGCTAAAAACATTAATAGAAGTATTGGCATAAGAGTATAACTTTTTTAAGTCTCCAATATGGTAAAAGATGCAGTACGTGCTAATCAATTCACCATGTTATATAGCAAGCAAGCACCTAATTTGCATTACATTATCAGGCCAAAAGAGGGCACTCTTTCTACAGGCTTGGAAGATTTCTAAGTATAACGCAGAATTTCAAATATCTACAAAGATAAAATCATACAAGATGCTGAATATCTTCAATTCCTGTCAGTTTCATCCTTTGTAAGATCAGGTCCCATCTCTGGGAACGACAGAAGATACTTATCCTTGGATTTCGGACAGATTGTTAGAATTAGCCTCAACAAACGTCCTCTGAAGAAAAAATGAGATCAAAGCATAATACTATCAAACTCCATTGCCTTGAACAGTGCAGGTTGATTCACCTTCTTAAACTGGGAAAGTGCAAATTGTCCAGTAGGGGATTTAGTGGCATCTACAAATAACCTCTGGATTATTTTTTTAGTAAGAAGTAGTATTATTGCTCAGGGTTTTTTGTTTTTGTTTTTTTAATTTTGCCAGATGGCAGCTTTCAAAGAATGCCTGTTGTTTCAAAGATAACCTGTCTTGTGACATTCTTGTTAACAAACTAAGAAAATACAGACTAGACAACGGTGGATACATAACTTGTTGAGGGAAAAAATCATGCTCAATAAGTAGTCATCAATGGCTCAGTGTCTATTTGGGAGGAGATAAACTAGGTTCGCTGGGGGATGGAGACCAAAGCCCTGAGGTAAGTGGGGAAATGGGTGACCTGGATGAAGAGTAAGTAAGAAGGGGCAATAGGAGAGGTGTTCTCATACTTCCTGAGAAATCAGGACAATAGACTAGTTACCTCAGGTATCTGTACAGGAATGCACAGAGCCTGGGAAGCAAGCAGAAAGACTTGGAAGTCCTTGCACAGTCACAACACTGTGACATGACTGGAATAATACAGACTTGGTGGGAGCTCACATGACTGGAGTACTCATGGGTGGGTACAAACTGTTCAGGAAGGACAGGTAGGGGAGAAGAGGAGGAGTTGCAGTTTATGGAAAAGAGCTGTATGATTGCTCAGAGTTCCAGTATGAAACTGGAGACAGGCCTGTTGAAAGTCTCTGGGTTAGGGTAAGAGCAATAGGGAGAGCAATAAGGATGGTGTTGTGGTGGAGGTCTGCTATGGGCCACCAGACCAGGAGGATGAGGTGGATGAGGCTTTCTTCAGACAGCTAGCAGAAGTTTCCCAATCACAAGCCCTGGCTCTTATGGGGGACTTCAATCACCCTGACATCTGCTGGGAGGGCAATACAGCAGTGCACAGGCAATCCAAGAATGTTTTGGAGAGTGCTGGGGACAACTTCCTGGTGCAAGGGCTGGAAAAGCCAACTAGGGGTCATGCTCTTCTTGACCTGCTGCTCACAAAGAGGGAAGAATTGGTGGGGAATGTAGAAATGGATGGGACTTGGGCAGCGGTGACCACAAGGTGACTGAGTTCAGGATCCCGATAAAAGAAAGGATGGAGAGCAGCAGTCCAGGACCCTGGACTGTTAGAAGGGCTGATTTCGACTCAGGGAACTCATAGGCAGGATCCCCTGGAAAGCCAGTTTGATGGGGAGAGGAGTCCAGGAGAGTTGCCTGTACTTTAAAGAAGCCTAACTGAGAGCGTAGGAACAAAACATCCCAATGTGCAGAAAGACTAGCAAGTATGACAGAAGACCAGCTTGGCTTAGCAGGGAACTCTTCAGTAAATTAAATCACAAAAAGAAAGTTTATAGGAAGTGGAAACTTGACAAACAACCAGGGAGGAGTATAAAAGTATTGCTCAGGCATGCAAAGATGAAGTCAGGAAGGCCAAAGCACAATTGGAGTTGCAGCTAGCAAGAGATCTGAAGAGTACCAAGAAGGGTTTCTACAAGTTTGTCAGTAGCAAGAGGAGGCTCAGGGAAAATTTGGGTCAGTTACTGAATGGGGAGGCAACCTTGTGACAGAGGATGCAGAAAAGGCTGAAGTACTCAAAGCCCTTTTTATCTCAGTCTTCACAGGGAAGGACAGCTCCCAGACTACTGCACCTGGCAGCAAAGTTTGGGGAGGAAATGACCAGCCAACAGTGGTGAAAGAACAGGGTAGGGACTATTTTAAAAAGCTGGACTTATACAAGTCCTTGGGGCTGGAAGAGATGCACCTGAGGGTGTGGAGGGAGTTGGCTGACATGACTGCAGAGCCACTGACCATCAACTTTGCAAACTCATGGCGATCAGGAGAGGTCCTAGATAATTGGAAAAAGGTAAACATAGTACCCATATTTAAGAAAGGGAAATAGGAGGATCCAGGGAACTACAAACCAGTCAACTTTGCAGATCCTCAAGGAACCCATCTTGAAGCACTTGGAGAAGAGGGTGATTAGGAACAGGCATAATGGATTCACCAAGAGCAAGTCATGCCTGATCAACCTGATTGCCTTCTATGATGAGATGACTGGCTCTGTGGGCACAAGGAGACCAGTGGATGTGGTAAATATTTCTTTAAGCTATGTGTCGCAGAGCATTTTGGTGCTCTGCTCCTATGAAGAGGGAAGGTGTGTCGCAGAGCACATTGGTGCCCTGCTCCTATGAAGAGTGGAAACTGCTAGGGAAAGAGCCCTAGCAGTAAGTAAGGAGCCCAGCTGCTGGTTGCGAGGGTAACTGGAGTGAACTAGTGGCCCACACCTGCCAGCGGTCAGCTGACCGGAAGGGGCAGGGCCTGGCGCGCGCAAACCCCAGGGCTGAGGCCAGGCTGGCAGTTCCCTGCTAGCAGCCATGGGTGAAGGAGCTCTCCCAGAGCAAGCAGAGGGGAGAGGCCAGACTGCAGGTACAGCTCCGAGACTGGGGGAAGGATAGAGCACCCTGATGTGGTGGGAATAACGTTATAGCCGAGCAGCTTGATTTTATGTCACAGCCCAGGGACTTATGTTTTGTTTCTTGTTGTATAAAACACCGGTGGTTTGGGTGACACTATTAGGGGTTGAAGGAGGCCTCATAGGGGATCCATGGTAGTGTGGGGACCCTGGAGCCAGAGAGGGTGCAGCATTTTGGGGTGCACTGACCCCAGCCCCAGGCAAAAGGGGGCAGAGTGAGAAGCCCCCAGATGGGGGCCATGGAAAGCCAGAGTGCCGGTGGGGAGCGGTGCGAGACAAGGGCCGCAGACAGCCCGAGCACCAGGGGGATGCAGAGCCAGACAGGGCTGCAGAGAGCCCGAGCGCCAGGAAGGCACAGAGCCAGACAGGGCCACGGAGGGCCCAGGGAGGACAAGGGGGCCACATTACAACAGGGCCCAGACCAAACAACATTGGTACCATCTGTGAAGCTGGGGGCATGGTAAAGGTGTGGTTGGAGCCATGCACAGCCCACGACAGAATGGGGCCAAGGTACAACAGAAAACTGTGTTCAAGAGGACAGCTAGGCAGCCTCCCTATTATACCATAACATCAAAGATGTGGCAGACAAGATTTGAGGGTGCTTTGAGGCAAACCTGGCATGGTAAGGGCGTGCTAGGGGAGATCATGGCCACCCCTAGGACCCCACTCCGTGACGCAATGATTTTAATATGGTGTCTCACAACATTTTCACAGGCAAACTAAGGAAATATGGGCTGGATAAATGGACTGTAAGGTGGATAGAAAACTGGCTGGAGCTTTGGGCTCAGAGAGTAGTAATTAATGGCTCGATCTCTAGTTGGCAGCCAGTATCAAGTGGAGTGCCCCAGGGGTCAGTGCTGGGGCCAGTTTTTCATAGAGTTCATAGACATTAGGGCTGGAAGGGACCTTGGAAGATCTTCGAGTCCAGCGCCCTGCCCCAGGGGCAGGAAGTCAGCAGGGGTCATAGGATCCCAGCAAGATAAGCATCCAAATGTCTCTTGGAGGTGTTCAAAGTAGGTGCTTGAACCACCTCTGGTGGCAGTCTATTCCAAACCTTGGGGGCTCAGACAGTAAAGAAGTTCTTCCTTATGTCCAGCCTGAAATGGTCATGGAGGAGTTTGTAACTATTCGATCTTGTCATCCCTTGCAGTGCTCTGGTGAACAAACATTCCCCCAGATCCTGGTGAACACCCCTGATAAACTTATAGGTGGCACGAGATCACCTCTGAGCCTGTGCTTTTCCAGGCTGAAGAGTCCCACAGCTCTCAGCCTGCTGTCGTAAAGTCTGTTTTCCTGACCTCTGATCATGCGCATGGCTCTCCTCTGGACTCTCTCAAGCTTCTCCACATCCTTTTTGAACTGTGGAGCCCAAAACTGGATGCAGTACTCCAGCTGCAGCCTCACCAAGGCCAAGTACAACAGGAGAATGACGTCCTGGGATTTGCTTGAGAAGCATCTATGGATGCAAGTTAGTGTTTTGTTCACTTTACTAAGCACAGCATCACATTGAAGGCTCATGTTCATCTTGTGGTCAATCCTGACCCCCAAGTCCCTTTCGTCCGTAGTGCTAGCCAGCGTAGCACTGCCGAGCCTATAAGGATGCTGTAGGCTTTTCTTCCCAAGGTGGAGAACCTTGCATTTTTCACTGTTAAACACCATCAGGTTCTCATCTGCCCATTTCCAGACCCTGTCAAGGTCAGCCTGGATCACCCTCCTGTCCTCAGGTGTGTATGCTTTGCCGACGACACCAAACTTCGTGATAAATTTGGCCAGTCCACTTCTGACACCAATGTTCACATCATTAATGAAGATGTTAATTATTATAGGCCCAAGGACAGAACCTTGAGGGATTCCACTGGTCACAGAGCACTACGACGACTGATTCCCGTCAACCATCACCCTCTGGGTCTGACCACAGAGCCAATTCCCCAGCCAGTGGACCGCGGTGAAGCTGAGGCCGCAGTTGGCCATTTTTGCTAAACGGTGATCATGGGATACCAGATCAAAGGCTGTTTTAAAGTCAAGATATACGACATCAATCTCTTCCCCCTTGTCCAGGTGATAGGTCACCTGGTCGTAGAAGAAAATGAGATTGGTCAAGAAAGACCTACCCGCGACAAACCCGTGCTGGCTATCCTTCAGGATTTTGCCATCACCCAGTCTATTGAGAATGGTCTCTTTGACAATCTTTTCTAGGATCTTGCCCCTTTTGTTCAATGTCTTCATCAGCAACCTGGAAGATGGCATAGAGTCCACCCTCAGCAAGTTTGTAGATGACACTAAGCTGTGGGAAGTAATAGATATGCTGAAGCGTATGGCTAGGCTTCAGAGGGACCTAGACGAATTGGAGGATTGGGCCAAAAGAAATCTCATGAGATTGAACAAGGACAAGTGCAAAGTCCTGTACTTAGGACAGAACAATCCCATGCACTGGTACAGGCTGAGGGCTAACTGGCTGGGCTGCAGCTCTCAGAAAAGGACCTGGCGGTTACAATGAACAATAAGCTGAATATGAGTCAACAGTGTTCCCTTGTTGTGAAGAAAGCTAACAGCATACTGAGCTGCACTGGTAGGTGCGGTGCCAGCAGGTCAAGGGAAGTGAGTATTCCCCTCTATTCAGCACTGGTGAGTCTACATATGGAGTACTGTGTTTCCTACAGAAAGGATGTGCAGAAAGTCCAGCAGAAGACAACAAAAATGGTGAGGGGACTGGAGCACATGACTTCTGAGGAGAGGCTGAGGAAACTGGGCTTATTTAGTCTGGAGAAGACAAAGACTGAGAGAGGCTTTAATACCAGCCTTCAACTTCCTGAAGGGAGGTTTGAAAGAGGATGGAGTTAAACTGTTCTCAGTGGTGGCAGATGACAGAACAAGCAGCAATGGTCTCAAGTTGCAGCAAGGGAAGTTTAGGTTAGATATTAGGAAGAATCTTCTCACTAGGAGGGTAGTAAAATACTGGAACATGTTACCCAGAGAGGTGGTGGAAGCTCCATCCTAAGAAATTTTTAAGACCTGGCTAGAAAAAGCTTTGGCTGGGATGATCTAGTTGTGGATGGTCCTCCTTTGAGCAGGGGGTTGGACTAAATGACCTCCTGAGTTCCCTTTCAACCCTAAATTTCTATGATTCCAAATAGGATTTCCAAGGGGCTCTATCCTGGGTTCATTATTGTTTAATATCTTTATTAAATTATTTGGATGATGAGATCAAGTGCATGCTTAGCAAATTTTTGGATGACACCAAAATGGGTAGTGTTGCAGACATTCTGAAGAGTACAAATAAGATCCAGAATGACCTGGAGAAATGGCCTGCAATCTCTCAGATGAGATTCAACCAGGACAAGTGCAAAGGCCTCCACTTCGGAACAGAATAATCACACGCATACATACAGATGAGGGAATGAGTGGTTAGGCTGCAGTACTACAGAGAAGTACCTGGGAATTATAACAGACAATAAGCTGACTAGGAGCAACAGTGCACTCTTGTTGCAAAAAAGCCAAGAGTATACTGTGTTATCTTAACAAGACTGTCACTGGTAAGGCCTCACCCCACGTACTGTGTCCAGTTTTGAGCCCCACACTTCAAAAAGGATGTGGAGAGTTTGGAAACGGGGTAGCACAGAGCAATGACAATTATTAGGGGCCTCAGTGGCAAGACTTATGAGGAAAATCTGAAAGAACTAAGGTTATGTAGTCTGGAGAAGAGAAGACTGAAAGGGAGATTTGATAATGGTCTTCAAATACTTGAAGGGTAAATACAGAGAGGATGGAGATGGGTTTTTCTTTGTGACCATATGTGACAGGATGAAGAGCAATGGCTTCAAGCTTCAGCAGGGGAAATCTAGGTTGGAACTTTCTGATGAGGATGGTCAAGCACTGGAACAGGCTACTTAGTTGTGGAATCTGCATTCTTGAAAGATTTCAAGAGCAGGTTAGACAGACTGAGACAGTATTGTCAGGGATGATCCTGCCTTGAGCAAGGCCTGGACTAGATGATCTTGTGAGGTCCCTTCCAGCCCTACTTTCCTATGACCCTACACTTATATGACAGCCTTTTACTTTTTCAGTCATAAACATCCTCCTGGGCAAACAGAAGGCAAAAGGCAATCGTGCTCCCAAGGGTGCCTTCCAGCACAGCCCCCCTTATCATAAAGGAGGTAGTTGGGGTCTAATGGTTCTTGGTTTCCCCTATGTACAATCCCTTCTTATTTTCAAAGTCACTATTAGTTTAAAACAGTGAGTGTCCCATACTGGGAAAAGTGAGGAATTGCTTCAACTCAGCTACAGGTTGGACAGAGTGCACTGCAAACTCCCATTTGGATGTGATTCAAATGAGCAGATCCAGGGGGCTAATACAGGTGGATAGGCATGCACCTCCTTCCTCTCCCACTTCCTCTGGTGCTTGGTGGCCCCACTGCTGGTAAAAGGGCCCTGAGTGTCTACCTCATAGCCTGCACCTCTAAATTAAATGGAAGCTTTACCATTAATTTTAATGGAGACTGAATCATGTAATTTCTGTCCACATATTGTAGTACTTGTATGGTTATTTCACATGCCACTGTATTTCATATTACTGTCAAGCTGTACCCTTATTTGGTGCTCACAGCTTGTGTCATCTTGTTCAAGTTGATATGGTTCAAATTTTTCATATTACCCAGCCAAATTGCTTTGTGCTTTCAAATATATTATTCTGGTTTCTGCTAGAGATAAAAAGACATGCATTCTGCGGTCTTCCACACACTGAACCTACACCACAAAATGCTGTCTTTATTTCACACTTCTCTCCCACCAGTTGGGAAATGAAACAGAATGACATGGTAAGGACTTGGATTGTTTTTGCTTCCGTAAGGGCTACATACTGCACAGGAGTTTTTTTGTTGTCTGAGTGGGTGATTTACCTTCACCTGGGAATTTCTTCGCTCGTTCCTCAAAGAACCATTCACCAGTTTTTACCTTCATGGCTCTGAAAAACAACAGCAGACACTTGAACCTTCTCTATGCAGTTTACAATATATATTTTCATATTTAATTGTGTGTGCTTGAGACAACAGAATAAGTGTCTATTTAACAAATCAAAAGAAATAAGACTAATCCTTCAGTACAACTAATATCTTACAGAAGTCCCCACTGAGGGCATGGGGGCAAATGGTCAACTTTGTTCTCCATGTGGGAATTATTCTGCAGGAAGTCTTAAATAGCATGCAGAGCAACCATTTGGAGGTCAAGGAGTCCTGGGTTCCATTCCCAGTTCTGCATCCAATTTGCTGTACAAGCTCAGGCAAAGCACATTTGGATGTATTTTTGCCTCCAGTCATAACATAGCTCAAATAAGTGAAAACAGACAATGCTGAAGTGCATGCTTTTCAGTGGAATTTAAAATGGCTACATGGGAGCACATGCCAAACGGCAGGTCCATAGCTCTAAAGAAGGAAAGAACATGTCTTCTCATCATTGATATGAATGGGCTGGTACCACGGCCTATCCTTCATCTTAAGCTTTCCTTTATGGAGAGGTTGATGTCAGTCACCAGATTCAGAATCTTATAAGGGTGATGCTTCACTGAGTATGCAATCAACATAAGAACAGACTCTCAGAATAAGAAAAAAACAACATGCATTTTTCAACTGAGCGATAAACAATTCTGAAATCCACAAAGGCCAGAGAAAAATAGCCCTGGGGTATCCACTCACTCTATTTGACAGTAGGTCAGAGAGTTTGTAGGACACTGTCTCACCTTAGGGTCCATTTCTAAGCACCTAAAGATAAGCAACTTTGTGGGTACATACAAATGTTCATGGAGGTTAGATTGCATTAAAAATGACCATTCCATCTAACTTAGGTCACCCACATGCAGACCTTAGACTGACCTGACTAGTAAGTGCAAGTACAAACTGTTCCAGGAAGATTAGATCAGTCAAAAATAGCTGAACCAATCTAATTTAACTGTACCTTGGAAGTGCAGTAAGTTAGATTGGATATGGCTAGACAGATCTAACACCTTCTGCACACTTTCCCAGCACAGCCCTGGGATTGGAAAAGCTCAGCCACTGGCCCCAGCCCCAGAGTTGCACGTTTCCTACCTGACCCCTTGGCACTGGGCTAATTTTAGCACTCCCTCCCTCCTGCAGATAGTCAGCCCAACTCCCCCATGGACTCCACAACACCACTAGCTTCCCCATCCCTCCCCTAATGTACCTTAGATCGGGGGCCATTTTTTAACCCGACCTACTCTCTGAACTGCTATCTGTAAAGTCTATACAAAGTCTATATTTAGAGGAATGAAATATACACAGCTTCTATGACCCTAAATGGAAAGGAAAAATTTCCACTTCTTCGGATATCAGGCTACTGACATGCCAAACCAGAGATTTTTGGTACCTAACTTTAATTAACAGAGCTTGAAAATTCTGAGAGAGAAAACTGAAACAACCTTCCCTACCTTGTCTTGGGCACTGCTCTAAAGCCATGTACTGCATCATAATAGATCAGCTATGCAGGAAACTTCAGATATTCCTTTCTCTCATATTAGAAGGAGCACAACTTGGCATGTTACAATTTAAGAACATGACATAGTGGTAACTGACTGATGTCTCTGATTACACCGGTACTTCAGAAGTAAAATTTTGGTGGCGCCATGTTTATGCACCATATTCCTCTAGCTCTCTTTGTTCCCCTTTTATGTCTCAGCAGTGATTTTCAACTGGGTGCTGTGGCACGCAGAGGTGCCTTGAGATCCTTTCAAGGATGCTGCAGGGTTCCATGTAATGTTAGCACTGTTAGGTGTGCAAACATTATTTACAAGATAAACCCAGAGATTTCAAATAGGAATCCATAGTGTCAAAAACAGTTGACCTGTTGTGGGTGGAGTTCTTTGCTACTGAAGAACTGCTCTGCTATTTTTCTTTAGTTAAAAAAACAAGTGGGCTAGGGACAGACATTACACATAAACCAGTTTAAGTGATCAGAAACTGGTTTAAATCTGTAACAGAACAGACATTCACTCCACATAAACCAACCTGAAAATGGCCAAAACCAGTTTGAGATAGACCTGGTCGAATGTGGTATCAGACTTAACTGATTTGGGTCAACCGGCTTTATGCAATGTCTGTCCCAGACCCCTTGCTGGTTTAAGATAAACCAGACACCCCCAGCATCCCAGCATGCTCTTGGGCTGGGCAGGCCTCTCTACTCCACAGCAGGGCTGGCCACTCCCTCTGCCCTCTAGCCTGCCATGGCCCCTGAGGCAAATTTCTTCCTCGGTCCCCTCTCCCCTCCACTGGCAAACCCTGTGTACCACAACTGCCATTTGCCAGCCCCAGCCACATCTCCATGGCTTGCTGGCAAACAGGCAGGGATGGAGTTAATTGCTCACTCTGTCCCCTCTCTCCCCCAGAACCCCTGGGGCTTTGGCTGCAGTCTCTGCCACATGTCTGGAACAGCAAGTGTTGGCAAAGACTGACAATCATCACACATGCCGATAAAGAGTTAAGAGAAGTTGCAAACAGCTTCACCAAAGAATGAAGAGAGCTACATTTATATGATAAAGCCTTTCTGAATGCCTGGCTGTAAGGAGACGCTTTGCACTCAGGATTAGTGAAACTAATTCTTGTCTTTCTGGTTTACATTTTAAGTTAGACTAAGCTGTGTATGCTGAGTTTTACTGGGCTGTATCACAGCTTAGGCAAAGATTTTTGGTAGTTCCCTGTCGTATGTTTTGCAAATTGCTGTGTTCAGTATATGCTTGCTTCAGAGAGAGGACTTTTTCCCCAACCCCTGTGTGCTAGCCTGGGCTGGTGCCTGGTGGCACCACCTCTGCTCCAGCAGGGAGGGGTGAGAGCCTTGGAGGGTGTCTCTCTTTCCTCCTCTTTGGCAGCGGCTGGCAGGCATGCTCTAGCATCCCCCCCCAACACCACCACCTTCTGGCTTGACCGTTGAGCCACTTCAGGCATGTGCCTGCATTTCCTGGTTACCAGAGCATGCCTGTCCAGTTATTAATCAGTTTAAACTGCACAGCTTAGACTAACCTGCAAAGAGTGAATCAATTCAGGCTTGGGCTTTTTGAATGTTTGTCCCTAGCTGTGAAGACTAAAAGCTGACATTTTTCAACGGATGCCTCGATTCTAAACAGCCACGGAGAATTTCCTCTCTTTTAGTCTTTTAAATCTGTAAACCAATGTTCCATCACCAAGGGTTTGTGGGCATGTGACTTACAGAACTAGCATACACTGGCATATACACATTTCTTTATTTCTCCCGATCTGGTGCAAAGCAACAAGCCATGATTTACAATAACTGAATATGTACAAAATTAGAGGGCTAAAGCTAGTTTTCCCTGGCAAAGGGTTCATGAATTATTATTGATCAAAACTGCAACAAGGCATTTTTTTGTCTCTAAAGAATTTACGTGCAAAAAACCCATTGCTTTAGTTTTTGTTTTTCCTCACTTTTAGATAGCTGTGAAAGTAAACAAAGCAAAAATTACAGTTTGTAAAACCACTGACAAAATGTCATGCTTTTATCCACGTTGTTTTTTTATGCAACACGTATATGTTGATTGCTAAGATACCACATTCATGTGCAGTGATGCAAAAAAGGCAGCACCTTTTTGCAGGGTTCCATAGAATACAAGAAAGAAAACAGGCCTGTAAAGTTTAAATTGATTTTCATGACCACAGTCAACTTCAAATCTAATCCATTTGTTTCAAACAAGAAGTATTGAGTAGTTTAAGGTTATACAACTGCCTCTGAGTCCCCTGGCCAATTTTTGTGGTTTTATTACTGCCTTTTTCAAAATGCATCTCTCTCCCCTTATGTTTCATGAGCATATATCATGCCAAGTCCCAATTTCAGTTAAACTGCCCTTCCCCACACAAAACTAGCAGCTTGTGAGTTCCAAATTTGGCCAATCATATTCCTTTGTCAAGCAGAGACATCTCTATAGCCCTACGGTAAAACATATCCATGGCTCTTATTCGGATTGCTTTTGAGATGCTTGTTTTCAGATGTACAAAGAGAAAAGGCACACAAGAGGTTAAAAGAGACCATCTATTCACCCACATAAGCACATCAGATCAAAGCTGTGAAAGCAGTAAACTCACTGAATTTTGTTTACTTGGGCTTTACATCAGTGAACTCATCTAGTTTCAGAACATGGGAGATACAGTTCCATTTTGATTTTGAAGTTTCAGAAACACTGTCTAGTGGCACTCTTATCACTGTTTGTCCTCAGTTTGATATATCAAGTTTTTTTTCTACAATAATCTTGGTATCTACCACTGGAGTAGGGAGGGGAGAACTTCAGTGATGTTTCTGATATCAGTACTTTATTGTAAGGGAAAAAAAACATTCTAACAGCATTCAGAGTTTAACCAAAAAAACCCCAAAAACCCAAGATGAAGATAATGAAATGACACCAGTTATCAAATATTCATCAGTAAGTTTTGTAACTAATACTTTACAGCCAGTCACTATACTTTTCTTCATAAAAATACACACCATCTCCAGCAATCAAGACTCTACAACAAGGTATTTAGGTCTTGATTTTTTAAGAGGTGAGTTCCTTCACTGGAATTAAGGATGCTCAGCATCTCTGAAACCTGGATTCTAAATTTCTAAATCATCTAAATCTTTCCTCATCCTCTTAAATATGGGACACTGAGTAGAACTCACCTCACTGCAGGAGACCCAAACATGGCTCTATCCAGCTCCTAAGCTATATAGCCCTGAAAAGAGTCTGCCATCATCTCAACCAACTTTGGATCAGATTTGTACTGAAAAGTTCAAACGATACCTAATCAAGAACAGAACCTTGCAGCATCTCTCTGCTCTAAGGTAAATAACACTCACTGACGATGCACAATTTTTCAAGAACAACAGTATGAAAAAAATAAGAGATTTCCTTGAACAAAGACTGGAGTGTTTCTAAAAACCATACTGGAAGAACGGAATCACAAGTTCTAATCATGATTCAATGACTCCAATTATTTAAATAAGCAAATTAAAAGACTTACGGTTCATTTATTTGGAATTTTGCAGCAAAAGTAAGAAGGTAATACATTTGAAAACTGATGCATGTAAAGTTCTGACTATACATTCTTGTCCCCAAAATGGTCTCATTCAAATTTAAACTAAGTATTTTAACACATATATACTATTGGTTAACTTTAGTACATTATAGCTACAGGAATAGCTAGCAAGCAGTCAGGAACTGTTATATAAAAGATGATCCCTCTAGCAGCACAATACCAGCACCAGACTGCTAGGATATGGCTTCAGTATGAACTCAGAGAAGAATGCCATCAGTGGAATAATTTCTATATAAAAATTAAACTACTTCAAATCCTGCCTAGTTTCACAATCCCAGGAAGAGCTGAAGTACAGGTGCATCAGTGTCCTATATTTCACTAGTTTTTGCTAAACACAAGGGAATGAACATGGTTCCACTGAAGTCAAGTCCTTACAGACTTCACTGGGACTGGGATGTGACAAGATCTCAATACTTACCAACGGTATCTTAAGTACAGGTTTCCCTTGATTTATGTGGGTTCTGTACATGGGAATTTGCTCTTATGCAATGACTCTTTTTATACCCAAAATTCGTTATATGTGAGGTAAATTCACTCCTATGCCATCGGCATAGGTGCCCTGCCCCAAGCAAGTAAGTCTGCTGGGGAAGGGGAAAGGGTCGTGGGGCCAGGACCCCACTCACCTCAGCCCCTGCTGCAGCTGCACTGGGAGTAGCCAAAGCCAGGCTCTTCCTGGCACTGGAGGGGCAGGTTGGAGGGGGGAAGCTACGGCAAATTTTGGGGTGGCAGCAGCCCCCCTCCCAGTGCTGCCGCCTGCCCTGAGCATCAGGAAGAGCCCAGTGCCGCCACTGGCCCCAGCCCGCAGCAGCATCCTGCTCTCATGCTGCGTACAGATCTGGGGGCACTCACCCCCCCAGGAAGAGCCTGGTGCAGCCCCCCCAGCCTGCAGCCCTCCTGGGGTGCATGTAGCAGTAAGAGCTGCATCCCCCCAGTCCTGTGCCCCACACCCACTGACAGTTCCCTTCGCTTTACTCCCTGCTGCAGCCCCTTGAGTGGCCAATGGGCCATGCCGCAATCCTCCCCCCCACCACCCCTTCCCTGGTCCCAGCCTTACTCCTTCCCTCCCTCACTGCTGTGAGAACATATCGCTATTTCTTACATTGTAAATGGGGTTCCCTTTATGCAAATTCAGTGTATTCACAGTTTTACGGGAACTCATATACTGCATAAATCAAGGGAAACCTATATAATTAAAGCAATCCAGGAGACTTCCTTGCTCCCTCAGTCATGATTTGCATCAAGAGATAAACACAGAACGGGCCATGGGTTATCAAAAGCAATCCAGTTTCTCACCCATGAGCATAGCAGATGGTGCACTTCCACAAGTAGGGATTGAGACAGACGCGACACTCGGAGCACACTCGATGGCTGCACCCATTGCACACCGCACCTCTATTCATCACAAGGCCCAAGGATTTCTGACAGCGAGCACAAGACCTCTCCTGATATTCGTGGCTTGCATTTTTAGCTCCTTTCCACCGAAGCTGCTGCAGCTGTGTTTTCAATTTCCTAACCCCCAAGACAAATAAAAACAAGTATAATCAGAAGTTGATATGAAGGATGTCATAGTGATAATCCTTTATGGAACATACTTCCAAATCAGTGCCTCTATTTGTTATTATTATTTAGATGTATATTTTATTTGCTTTGATTATTTACATTTAGCTCCTCAGGGCAGCTTATAAAAAAAGACAAACAACCCACAAAATAAGAAACAAGAGACATTCCATTTCCCTCCTAACCTCCCCCCCCCGCAATGTCATTTTCAAGCCCACACTCCCCCCTTCTTACAGAGGGTCTGTGTCTGTCCCCAAAAATGCATAAATCCTCCCCCCACCCCACCTCCAACAAAAAACAACATTAAAAGAAGCATTCAAACAAAACATCTGAAATAGCCATAACAGAGAAATAATGATCTTCAGGGCAGGGGTTGTCTATGCTATGTGCTTGTACAATGCTCTGTAGAACGGGACCTTGACAGTGCAGGGGACTCAAGGTGACACTGATGAATATGCGTTGCCTTGCACAATGTACTTTTAACATAATGCTGTACAGGTAGCCCTGCTTGTCATCCAGCAAACACGGGGTTCTGCTCATGCAGACCATATGCACCCATGATAGTGCACCAAAAATACAGCATGAATGTACAATTGCTTGCAAAGTTACACAAGCAAAAGGAGAAGAGGCTAAGGGTGTGTACGTCTGAAAATCTGACTTGTGAGAGAGAACTGCCATAAGTAACTTCAGTGAATGTGCCACCTAAGTCAAACCAAATAAAATACATACAGCTTTAAAACACGGTTTAAAACAAAATGCCTAAAAAAAATCTTGCTTCCTTTACTTACCTTTCATAGCCTTCTAAAAGTGTCAGGATCATCAAGCACTGAGCTCCCTGACCTATTTAAAATTTAGTTACGCCGTAATCCTTTGTTAGGAGAATATTCTACTATGTAAAGCAGAATGGTATAATTTCCACAAAAGAGTAATGTATTGCTCAAATTTAAAAATTAATTAATTTCCTTTCCTTATAGTCTTTTAGTATTTGCTTTCTATAGATGCTTTGCAATCAGATTTTGCCCACACAAATGCTTACAGAAATCAAATTTTAAGTTTCACCATTCATATGTTTGAAGCTAGAGAACTTAAGACTTGCATTTATAAATATTAGCAACACAAATAGTATGTTTTATATGGGGAAGCTGCTCAACAATGTACTGTACAAATGGCCAAAGCTCCTTGTCAGACCCCTGATATAAAGGAAATAAAATAGGCCAGGCAGAGATTTGATCTCAGCCTTCACATTGCAGATTTGTGTGAAGTTGAGGAAATAAAACTTTTCACCTAGCAAATAAAATTTGCTATGCTGGTGACAGAAAATTGTAGACTAGGAGAGGCAACACACTTGGAATACACTTTATTTGATAAGAAACGAGATTCAGCTCAGCTTCAGGATGAGATTCCCAAATCCCCTGTTCAGAACCCTGACGCCAGTGATTAATTAAAACAGGCCAATCTGTGAAGTCTTCCTTTGTAATGGGGATAAGCTTACACACCAGTGAATGTAATGACAGAAAATTGAATTGTAAACTTTTTGCAGAGGGAGTAATCCTTGGAGGGGCATTATTTTTCCAGAAAAGCTGAGAGCTAAATTCATGGAGTAGATGATTCACTGCATTGTATTTGTTCAGGTCCCACCAGTATTCTACAGTGAAGAGGTTATAATCGCTGTTATTTTTCTCATCTGGAAAAAATACCAGTAGCCAAGAGCATGCTAGAAAAGTGGTAAGATTAGAAGAGACAGCAACGAATGGCACAATGCAAAAAGAACAAAAGGGGGGGAAAAGCATAATACCTTATTCTTTCTTCATCCACTTTTCTCAGCATCTGATCACGGTACAGAACCTCCAAAACAGTCTCCTGCTCCAGTTCTTTAAGGAAGTTTAGATTCAGTTCTACAGTCATTTTTCACAAATTTCACTTCCTTTCAAGACTCCTGAACTACGCAGCTTCACTTCATCCAAGCTGACAGATATTAGTACTGCCTGGAGTATGTGCCACTCAGGCCTATGGGTTTTTTAAGTGTCTGTGCTCGTATTTCATTGGTGATGCATTTCTACTGCGTCATACTCTTGAAGAAAAAAATTAAAGAGTCCACCTCCATGCAGACCATTATTTCTAAGTGTCTTTGCCACCTATTGAAGTGAACACACTCATTTAGCAAGGTCAGAGCAGTCTACTGTCTTTCACACGCAAGTACTTCAAGTACTTTTTTGATAAGAATAGCTCCCAAACTGAAAATAGCTCAAAATAGGGTCCCAGATAGGGTTTTATTTGCTAGTAGGCTGAGAAGGCCTTTGCAAAGAGTGACAGCACAAAATACTGGAAAACAGCTTGTCTTACTTGACCTCTCACTTTAGGCATTTCCTGGTAGGAAGTGACTTGAATGAAAGATTATCTTGTCCAGGACCTGCAGAAAAATAAAGCAAATGTGTTATTCTTCCCCATTTTTCTTTTTCAGCACCCCGTGCTAGAAACTGAGCATTACCTTGTGAAAATTAAATTCTACTTTACACAAATATACCTTTCACATGCTGATTCAAACTTACTGGAGTTATTTAATAGGACACACCCATACTTTAGACAGACTTACCATGAGCACTACAAGTTCCATTAATCCTTAGCCTAACACCTTAATGGCTTGGGGAGGAAAAATTGTCTTAATATTAGTAATGCAATCAATAAAAGAAGCTTCCAAGAAAATTCAAAAACTATTCCTGTGGCCTGACTGAAAAGCTATATTGATGGAGATAAATGTTCCTTTGCTGGTTATAAGCTGTTCAACTCATCTTCTTGTAGTGACAAAACACTATAAACTTTTAGGAAAAAGAGAAAGAAAAACATCCCATGGAGTTATTCCATGAATTATTTATAGATTTTAATAGCTAATGGACCTGTCATCTGAATCTTGCCTAACTTCTTTCTGCTGAAGCTAGATAAACACTTCACTACACAACAGTGCTGCTATATTTGTAACACATACACACGAAGAATCAAGAGGACAGTTTCTCAGTCCACACCAATCATTTTGTTATGTGCAAAAATACAAGAAGCAGGAAAATATGAAAAAGGAATAGTTTAAACAAATACACATTTGAATTGCTATTGTACTAAAGTAGTTATTGCATCTGATGTAACCACTCAGATCAGAAGGAGTTTATTTTGAATAAGGAATGCAGAAATTGACTTTATATCTACAGCTTTCAAAAAAATGAATAAAAGAAAAATGCATTATTGTCATAATTATTTTTAATAATATTATATACCACAGTTACACCCACAGAAGAAAAACAGTTACAGAACTATATTCAGAATAGTTGAGAATTTTACAAAATTATACTACACTTTTTCTACTTGTTTATAAAGTCTATTGTTGGTTTGGCATGAATTCTTCAGGTGAGTTTACAAGCAAACCAGTTTTGACCCGCATCTGATATTGTATGTTGTATGTTTATGTATGGATGTATAAAACAAGAGTAATTTTTTGAGTGTTTACTCTGGGAATAAAATAGAGAAAGCCTGATCCTTCATTAGTACTAATACATCTACTAGTGCAGTGGTTTTTTGTATCAGGACCCATTTGTAAACATCAGTGACCAGTCCTGACCCAGTGCCCCTCACTCCCTAGCTGCTAACCCCTACTCCCAGGCCCCAACTCCCAAGTGTGTGGGGCGGGGGGTGGGTGTGTGGGGCAAGGGAGGCCCCAAGCAGCCTCTCGCAGGCTGACACTCTGCCAGTCTGCAAGGGAAAAGCCAAAGTTTCCCATGTTTTTCTCCTTTAAAGGGGAATCTATTTTTTAAGTTTGTTGATCCACTTTTAAAGTTTGCTCATAACCCTTTCATATATTCTTCTGACCCACTTTTGGGTCATGACCCACGGGTTGAAAAAATCTGCACTAGTGAACATAACTAGTGAAATATTTAAGGATGCTGCATTGATTGACAGCAGTTAAGGATCTGGCCTAATTATATGCTATTTTTTGTTAATGCCAGACAGATCAGGTTACCAATTTATTTTCAAACCTAAGCAAATATTGCATTGCCTTGTATGTACCTCAAAGATTTACCTTACATCCATATTATCAGGTCATCTCTAATTAAGCCATCTAATTCTGCAGAAGTAGGCGGGAGAAGGCACTATTCTTTATTTACAGCTTATCTCTGCAAACCCTTCCTTTCATAGTGCTTTGATAAAGTTCTTTGACAGACACATAAGAGATGAAAATGTCCCACGTAAAATGGTAAGCAAAGCAAAAAAAGATATGCATGAGTTTCCGGTGGAAACATAGGAGGTAAAGATATGAGTAATCATGTTTTATATCCTTTGCTTTCTGCTCAATCACAGGAAGTGAATAAGCAGCTATAAACCCTGAAAAGCCACAGCAATAACTTATTTGCACAACACAGAATGCTTTTAAAGAACTGTGCTACCTCTCAGGGGCAGGGTTTTTTTGTTTTGTTTATTTTGTTTTCTGTTTGGGTTTATTTAAGGAAAATGTGTTGTGTTCCAAGCCAAATCAGCCAATCAATTCCAAATCCACGAGTCATTCAAGAACCATATGTGGCCCTACTACCAGCAAACATCCTCCACTCCCACCTGGGGCTTCAGATGTTTCCAAATCATTTGGCAGGCATCCTATGTGCAGGCTCAAGCCCAAAGACTTGGGGTTTGGATGCTCCCGAGTTTTGCCTGCCTTCAGCCCCATGGCCACAAGAGCAAACTAGGGAAGAGTCTCTAGGGCAGAGGCAAGGCACTGCAGTGGTGCAGTTGCACCCATCTGTGATTCCTGCTTCACCCAAACTTTAAAACCAACTTCCTGGGAGGGGCTGCTGCAGTTCTATTCACAGTGTTGAAAGAGTCGACTGACTTCATGGCTCATTGACATCTCCCTGATTCCTGCTAATCTCTTTTCACTCTATGGGTGTTAACTGCCCATTCTCCTTTTTAATTGTGTTGATGTTCCAGTATTCCAACTATCCTTTCTTCCTTAATTTTGCTGTCTGTTGGCCATTCCTGGTAGGGTGGCCATCCCAGGGGACAATCTGGCTGTCTTCTGTCTTCTACTGATACAACCCGAATGCCTTTATGTCCTCTATGTTTCTCTTAAATAGAAACATAAAGGACATAAAGGAGTTGGGTTTTGTATCAATAGAGAACAGAGTAGCAGAAAACTGGAATGACCTCTGTGATGGCTACCCTAATTCCTGGTAGTATCTCTCTTCTATTTCACAGCCCTACAGCTCTAGCTAAAAGCTTTAACTCAGGTGTGGTCATATTACCTCAGGTGTAGAAATGACTGACAATGAAGTATTGGAAGCACTCAAGAAAGTTAGATTTTGTTTTATAAATCTGAATAAGATTTATAGTACATTTAACTATAATGACTACAGGACTAATGACACTATATCTTTCAACTATTTTTGCCTAGTGTGTTGTGTTTTTTAAACTTAATATATAATTAACAAACTAGTTCACATTATGATCTTAAACTGAATAATATATCCCTAGGCCCCTTGCATATTAGCATTTAGTTTCTAAGTGGAAAAAAATAGGTATTGTGTTATATATGATGATGTGCCACACCTTCTGAACCCACCTTTTCAAAGTCTTACATCTGCCCATGCTACCTCTGCTCCAGTTGATGTTTCGTCCTAGTTATTTCTGTGAGGCTTTCCTTGGAGAGTCTGATCCTACAACCGGCTGAATTGTTTCTAAGAAGCTCAATCCCTGCTTAAGTCAGTACAAATGTAGAGAGAGGCCAAAACTTTGAAGGACATACTGGAAAAGTACCAGTCAGTCTCAAGTCCTTCCAGCATTCACAAGCAATTACTTCTAATTCTTCAGGATTAATTCCAAAAGCTGGTATAATTACAGCTTCATCAGTCAATCCTGCTAAGGCATATCAGATGGATATCAGCAAATTCAAAGCAGTCATTAGTACCTAGTCCCCAGTAAAATTGTAATAATGATCTTGTGGGAGACATACAGGGCTGTTTCCTATTAACTGTATGCATCTAAACAGCAGTTACACAACAATAAGTTCCATTTTTGGTGCTTACACACAGTTTCAGATTCTTTGTCACCCTCTGTAAAAATAGAATTGTCTAGCATGAACACTTACCAGAGAGGTGGTGTGAAGGAGGAACAAGTAAACCTTCTCCTATTTTAAATCAACAGGCTAGTAGTAGTTAGGACACTCATCCAGGAAGTGGAAGACCCAGGTTCAAAAGGGCTTTGAACCTGCATCTCCTTCTTCCAACACTGTGCTCTAACCATAGGGCCATAGGTTAGGCATCATCCAGTCCTGTCTCTAGCTCCAGAGAAACACGTTGCATTCTGCCCATGAGAAACTACTGTGTGCAAAAGAGCTGTGTAATTAGTATACCTAGCTTTGGGAACAGAGTGGGTATGTCTACATGAGATGCTTTACTGCACAGTAAACTGTCACCATGTCACATAACCTACTGCACAATAAATTAGTTTACTGTGCCATTAACTAGTACCTATAAATATAGTTACTCAACTAACTGCGCAGTAGATACTGCACAATAGGACTAATGTAGATGCTGACCAGGAACAAATTTGCTCCTGGTCAGCCACACCAGCAGGGGGCCTGGTCCTGGCACTGCTCAGCTTCTGGCTTCCCCCCAGAAGCTGGGAGCCAATAAGCATGTGGACCGGATCCCTCTCTGCCCTCTTCTGTCCCAGTGCTGTGGGATTCCTGACCCCCCTGCAGGGGCGGGAGCAGTGCCAGGACTGGGGGAGTTCTTCCTTCCCTGCTCAGCCAGGGGCAGCCGTGAGCTGTCCTGCCAGTGGAGTAGTTAGCAGTGAGCCCCCATCTGGGCATGGATTCCTCCACTCAGCCCAGGGCAGTTGGCAATGAGAGCTTGCTGCCAGCTGCCCCACCAGCCGGCTGGGAAAGAATCCCCTCCCTCACAGTTGTTTCCCAGCCCCCTGCCTCAATCAGCCAACTGGGGCAGGAGCTGAGAAAGAGTCCCTTCCTTGCAGCTTTTTTCCAGCCCCTGTCCTACCGGCCAATCGGGGCAGGGGACTGGGAAAAAATTGTGGGGGAGGGGACTCTTTCCTGCGTGGGAAACAGCTGTGACCCTGTCGCCTGAAGCCCAGGCCTAATCCCAGTGTCTCCTGCCAGCCTGGGGCTGGCACCTCTGGGAGCCTAGAGCTCCCATTGGCTGCCATATGGCAGGAGAGCAGAGTAGGTGTTTCCCTGTCCTGCACTGCTCCCATCAGGAGCAGAATTGCTCCTGATGGGTGCACATGTGGATGTGCTCTCACTGAAAGCTTAGTGCAAAGTATTTAACTGTGCAATAAGCTTTCTGTGCATTAATTGCACATGTAGATGCACCCAGTATGGATCAACTGTTAGAAGAAAAGCTACAGACAGTGAAGCTAAGCACTTGGCACACGCATTCTGACAGTCAGCATGTCAAAGTGGATTGGACTTAGCTCTATCATATTTTAGACAAGTAGTGCTCAACCTTCCATCTCTGCAGGCCAGATGAGTGGTGCAGGGCTGGTCTGTAGGCTGGATCCCATGGGTGGAATTAGTCTGTGGGCTGCATCCAATTTTGAGTCAATGTACAAGGTCAGTTTTCAGGTGTTACCTCTGCACCAGCCAGACTCTGACCCATACCAGATATGGCTGCATAGCAACCCCATGTACCAGATCTGGCTGCAAAGCAACCCCACAAAAGCCATGGCAATTACTGCTACTGCTACTCCCGTCACCACCTTTCTGGACCCATGGGGAGACTCACAGGCTGGATTTGACCTGCCTGCAGATGAGAGGTTCAGCGCCACTCTTTTAGACCTTTGGATTTTGTGTTGCTTTAATTTATGGCAGCTCCTTGCTATTCACAATTTGGGTTCTCTGCAGCTCAAAACTGCTCAAGTTCTAAGCACTCTAAAAAATATGCAATCTGCCCCCTGCACTGTCCAATGAGGAGAGAGAAAAAGCTGTATACATTGCAAAGGAGAGAGCCACAAAGCTGTATACATTAGCTCTGTATCACTTCTATATGCAAGTGTAGGAATTTCCCTTAGAGGATGCCCCTCCAAACAAAGAAAAAAAAGATAGCTTACCTTAAGGGAGTAGAACTTAATGTTACCTTAAAGGAACAGAGTCATGAAATTCATTGCTGTTACTATTAATTTTACAGAGGCATCATGACACTATTAAGGATGGGGGAGCGATATAAAACCTAAGACAACTTGCTAGATTTTGAGAACAGATATACACAATATATTCAAATGAAGCTATCTACGAAAGATTTATATGATTTTTTCCCCCCTGGAAGTAGTGAAGAAGAGTGCTTCTTTATAATAGCAGGTTTTGATTTCCCTTAAAGGCAGGTTTACTGCAGAACACTTCAGTGATTTAAAAACTCTTCCCTGATTTTATGACTGTAATCACCTTTCCATCTAATGTCTCTATTGTTACTAAATAACAAATTAAAATGTCGAGTGCATTTTGAGGCAGGAGAATTTGCACCACCCCAGGGGATTTTATTTAGCCTTCAAAGTATGACACTGTGATTCCAAATTAGTTTAGAACACTTAGGAAAAATTATGTTAATGAATAATATAAGAGAAGAAACTTGTCAGAAAAACAAACCTTGTCAGAATCCCTTTCATGATGCCGAAAAAATAGCCACGTGTTTAATACAGATGTAACGGAAGTGCCAGCTCCATGTTCTGGAAAGGTATTGGCCCTGTTGTGACTTTCAAGTCATGGCCTGGATTTGTGGGATGAGTTTGCACAGCAGTGCAAGCCACAAGAATGATTCTGAACTACTGGGCTAGATCATGTCAGAGCTGATATTACCATACCCTGTAGCAGAGGGCAGCAGGCACTCCTCCCTGCACTAGCTCAACTCTGTTGACTGGTGTTAAGAGGAGTCATATTTCTCTGTCATGTTCCCTCTGTGCCATGTAATGCTGCCTCTGTAGTTCTGTAGCTGAATAGTAATATTTTAAATATTACATTTAGGTCAGATTCTAATGCCATTTCTCAGGAATGTACTCAGTCCTTCACCAGGCTGAATTTCATTAATGGGGATTTAGCTAGAATAAAGATGCAGTAAAAACTAAGTACAGGCTCCAAGAGTTGGCCTATTTTTCTGGTATTTGTACTAACATAAACACTTGTAGATATCACTATTAGTGTATCTTTTAAGAAGGAGTCTATGTTTTCCCCATTATTGACAAGTCACTCAGCACTAGATAGTAGTATCTGCTCTCAGAAAACTACTAACAAATTGGGTTTGGCTTTTATAATTCTTGGTGTGCCACACTGTAAAGCAGGATGACCCCCTTTTTATTTTTAAGAAGTGTTAAGGGGGTCATCAAATAGCATGTTATTTATTTGGTTATCTGCTTGTTAACTGTAGGTATTGTTTCTATTAATGCCTTGTTAACTCTCCAATATGAATTCCAATTTCAGTTTACACACCTCAGTGGCACTTACACAGTCATGAAAGTACCATTTCTGGCACTTATATGGTTTGGGATTTCTACTCTGGTCACAGTGTGGACACACTCACTGTACAGGCTCACTAGGTCTGCACTCTGGCTGGGTAAGTATGCGGTGCTGTCTGCTCACTCAGGTGTGCACATAAATCCTGAAATCATAGTCAAGCAAAAAGTTATGACTACCTGTGCGGGGAGGAAGGACCGTCCCATGTTTCAACCTTCTGTGAAGATGAACCTTTTAAGGTTCTACACTCAGGGCTAGTTTTCCTAGAAGATAAAACTTATTCTGCTAACTGCCACTGCAGTAGCTCCAGTGGAAGTGATCTGTATTCTGTACCTGAAAGTCCTGAGCATGAATTCTAATTATGACCGATACAGGAAAAAACAGCACATGAGCCTACACTTAAAGATGACTGAATACTTCAAGTCATTGCTAACAAATCCACAAAATCCACCGTTTGTACGTCACCAATCAGAAACCAACTAGCTCAGCAGGTATTCAAAATTAGGAACTTTATTAAATTATTTAGGAATCACAGGTGAAAGGCATTATAGAAATGCAAAGTATTTATCATAATCCTCTTTATTACCATTTATAATAAAAATCTGCACCCACATAGCATAGTAGTGAGTAGAATCGAATGTGTCAGTGTAAATGAAAATGTTTCTTTCATTTGAAATAACTTAGATAATTTCACTGCATGACCTGTGTGTAATGTTTCCAGCTTCTATATCATTTATTTTCGTTTTAGTAGTGACACTGAGACAAGCATACACAAAGTTATCTGTGAAAGTCAGGTCCTGTCCTGATTTGAGATCTTTTGATTATTGGATCCATTAATCCCACAGAAGGGAATCGAAGTAATGATGTTTACTGGAAAAACACACTAATCATAAATGCTAATGGAGTCTAAGGCAATTGCCGCTCACACAAATTCATATGAAATGAATTAATTAGTACTTGCTTGATAAGAAGAATTACGAATGATTTCTTGCACTACTTGACTGTAATATCTTAATTTTTATATGGAAATAGACTATTTGGTTATAATTTATTTTATAAGGCAAGTTGAAATGCTTTGCCTGCACTTCTCTCAAGTAATTTTAGTATGACTCCCTCCCACAACTCATCCAGCCAAAAGATCACTTTACAACAAACCATTTTCAGTGCAGATTCAAGGTCTTTTTCTTGAACCCTTTTTCAATCTAAGGAACAGTTTAAACTAAAATCAATTTCTTCTTGCTGTATTGGGTAAAACAGATTGAAAATATACACTTACCTTTTCCATTGCTACCAGAGAAAGAGATGTAGAAGTGACATGTTCACCAGAGATGAGGAGTTTGCTTTTTCTTTTCTTTACTGAAATAAAATTGCTGCCTCACTCCTTTCTCTCCTGTTTAAACCAAAGTTAGAGTACAGCATCAAGAGAGGGGCATCCCTGTGGCAGTCAAGTGGAATCAGGCTCAGAGGCTGATTGTTAGTGCTGCCAAAGGCTTCACAAAGTTACTGCTGCCGAAAGTGCAGTAGATGAATTACTGCATAGAGATTAACAGCTTTGCTAAAGTTAAAAATGGTTTACTATGGGAAAATGTAATACTTTCTTCCTCATAATGTGCTTATGGTTCTCTAACCACTCACAGGAAGAAGAGTGGTTATGAGTTTTTAGAGTCTCATGATTTGTCTTCCTGATGCTATATACATGCAAATGCTGAAAACCTCAATTTCCCCAGACAGTCATACTGAAAAGAAGTCTGGTACCCTGAACAGGCGATTTACTGGCAATAAGACTGATTCCTCTCTAGCTACAAGTGATGATATATTTAGTATAACTAGATAGCCTGATAGACACTGGGTACCTCTACACTTGTAATTAGCACGTAGCAATAAACTCCAACCCAAGGATGCTCCAGTTTGGCTCAACATGCTGCAGAGGGGCTGGCTGGGGCATGAGGGTATTACAGTGCAGGGCTGGCTGGAAGGCAGCTCCTACATTGTAGCACCCTTGTGCCCCAGCCAGCCCCATCACTGTCTACACATGAGTTTTGCTGCATGTAACTATTCTGCTCTTGGATAGTACTTGTGTTGAGCACCAGGGTACTAGCCTACAGTGGAGTTAATTAGTTTATTGAGGCCTAATTGTGTCACATGTGTAGATGGTGATGCTGTACTGTGGAGTTAATTGTACATCTCCACAGTGAAGTGTCTCATATTTGTAGATGCACCCTCTGTGAGCTTTCTTGAATGAAAACCTGGAAAACTACCAATATAACCCCCAAGTATTGAGTCTAGAATAACGTGTGTTTGGGTTGGCTAGTCCAGTTCAGCCTGTGATAAAGACAGGCCTTATTATTAATGATGTTCAGAATTAAAGCCAATCTACTTCAAAGTCTGAACAGAGAATATTTCTTTCCAGACCAATCTATTCTCTGGTTTAAAGTTTCAGTTCATCAGACACAATATATAATAATAAAGCAATAGAGGTCTTTTTATTTATTAGAGGTCTTAAATAGTGGCATATATTGGTTAAAGTTTCCTAAAGCATTGTTGCTCTATCAACATAACAAAATTAATCAACCTGTGCAATTGTCTAGCTCTTTAATGCTATGGAATATGTTTAAATTGAAGTATGTGAATAACTTTATTGAAATCCAAAGAACTATTGATAAACCAGGAGTGACCAGCTAGCAACCTGCAGGCTGCATAAGGTCTGTGAGGGGTTAACATGAGGCCCACGGATTCTTGCCCAGCCACTACTCCTTCCATTGCTCCTGCTACTATGGCAGCTGGGGTCCCCAAGCTCCCCCTCTTATCCAGCTTCTGTTTCCTGCCCTGCTCCTGGAGAAGAGGTAGCATGGTGGCAGAGAGCCCAGAGATGGATCTTTCCTGCTTATACTCCATGCTGGGCTCGGGAGAGGGAGTCAAACTGTTTGGGGAGCTGAGAGAAGAGCTGGGCTGTCCAACTGTGTGTGGGGCTGGAACAGGAACCATACTACACTACCTGTGCAATGAGAGGAAGGGCAGACTATCAGCATGACAAACTGGCTTGGGGGTCTTTGGGCTGCAGAGTGTGTGGCCCCCAGTGGCTCAAAAATTGGACAACCCTGTACTAAACACATCAGGAAATAGTTGCAGGTTTTGGGCTTTACACAAGGAATGAAGTTAAAGTTGGATAAGAGCTGCAAGTTTTCGAATTCATTCAAAAATCATGTTAGGTCACCCAAAATAACAAGATTGTTGTTTTTAAGCTCTCAATCTTAAACCAAAGACATTTTTATTCTTCTCAATTGTCTTCTGGTTTATGGGATTTTAGGTGCCCTCAAGTTACATTTTAATTTTTCTTCCCCAAGTATAGGAGCTAGACAATTAATCTGCTGTAATGAAAGCTGTGATCCCTTGGGCTGTCAAAAACACCAATTACTGTAAGAGACAGAGAGTCATGAAACAAAGTGGTAATCTGGGACAAATTAAGTTTAGGACATAAACTGGCAGTGTTGGAATGATGTTGTAGCCATGTTGATATAAACTGGGATCACTCCACATTATAATAGCTATCAACAGATGAGCAGGCTGTGCTTGATTGTCATAAGTTTAAGCATGAGTACTGGGCAGGGCTTGCCATGAACTGTACCAATAGTTGAAGGAATAGGTATCCCACACTCCTTTCTGACCCTGCCTTGCCCAGGGCATGTGTGACACATGTACAAACGTACACAAAAGGACATTTGGAGAATGGTGTCCAGGAATCTCCAAGTTCAGCCTCCACAGGTCAAACATAAAAAGATCCAAAGATTCACCTGGTACCTTTCTTCCAGAAGAGATACAGTGGCATTTTCCAACTGCAAGGTCAGCTGCCTAAATGCCTCTTTTCTCACCCTCTATAGTCTGCTACATGCCAAGCAGTACCAATGCATAATAATGAATCTGCCAACTACATACTTTCCCACAAATCCTTGCCTCTGCCATCAAGCAGTCTCAATTCACACTGCAGTAGGGCTGCCATCAAACAGCCAAAATGAACAATTTTGTTGTGCTGCACTTACTAAATCAGTGTGGATTCATCTTACAGAAAACAGTGGCTGGTTGTGTGGCAGGTATGACCACACAACTGGTGGGATGGCCAACAGTGGTAGGAGAACATCAGGATGAGGAAGACCAGGAGACCACCTTCCTAGGTATCTACGCAGAGCTAACCACAAGAAAACTACCAATATGAGTTCCCTTGACTGTGTCAAAGCAAATGGAAATGGCTGTCTGGAAGCTTCAGCTCACAACTACTGCTGGTCTATTGCAAAAGATTATTGTGAATGTTGTTGTGACTGAGATTTGTACAGCTCTAAGCAAGGGTACTTGGCTGCTCATGCTGTACAACTTGCTAACCCTCACAACAACCAATTGTTGTGAGGGTTGCAGGCATGGGGTTATCCAACTGCACAAGATGGATAAGAGGGCACATACATTCCCATTCTTTGCCTACCCAGCAAGTCTCAGAGTTCCTAAATAGGAAAGGGATTTTTCCACTGGTCTATAGGCTGCTGAGTATGGTGAATTGTTATGGAAGAATTGCACATGGATGCAGTAGTCCAGAAAAGTGCATGACTAAAAACGATTTCAACAACTCCACTTTTGGTTTCTCTGAAGAAGGGCTGCTTGCAGTGTAGAAATCAATGGAGCAACCAGCCTTCAGCTAGACCCTCATGTGCAATCTCACTTGACTGATACAAGGTCTATTCTGTGAGGGTTTCTACTGCCTCTATACAAATGTACTGGTAAACTCCATCCATATAAAGCAGCCATGGTCCTGAAATCTCTGTGAGGGTGTCCATGAGCTCCCATATCACCTTCTTGCTTTTTCTTTCTGCCTTTCACAAAGTTACAAGGCACTTGGTGGCTGTCATCACCTTCCATCTTTGAGAATCTGGGAGCTGCAAGTACTCACCCTCAAAGATGAGAAAAGTAACAGTTGGTCATTTTTCCCTTCTCTGTTTTCAGAGATAATGCCTTGACCTTCTAATGTCTCCAGAATCTCTTCCCAGTCTTTGAAGCCCTTGGAAACAGTAAGTCCTCTCCCAGCCTAGGCCCTGGTACTCCCTATGACCCCCTTAGGCCATCCCATGTAGGGCGATTCCAGGCCATGCAGGTGCTGCGTCTGTATGCACAGGTGGCTGCGTCTGGCTGCAATCTAATGAAGACGCCGAGGGCCAACCCAGTCCCCTGCCAGGTTGGCAAGCCAGCACTGGCTGGGGCAGGAAGCTAGGCTGCCAGACTTGCTGCCCTAGTCCAGTTTTAGCTTGCTGGGCCCTGCAGTGGAATATGCTGGGCTCAAGACCTTGTTCTGGGTTGTGCTGGGCTTTTTTTTTTTTTGCTTTTTTTTTGGTTGCTTATGGAGCCCTGAGCCTGTCCGGTCAGGTTTGCTGTCTACCATGATTTCCAGTAGATGGTACTACCTGTGACAGAGAATGCCGAGCAGCTTAGAGGGGCGTATGAATCTTCCCCCCGGGCAGAGGAAATGCTGCCAGAATGGTGTGGAACGGAGGTCCAGTCATGAGCCTACACTGGTCTCTGCAAGGCCAGGCAGCACCAGCCTAGGCACAGAGCCCCAACAGACGGACACACGGACAATCATAGAACCATAGACAATGCAGGTTGGAAGGGACTGCCAACTCCCATGATTTTTGGCACTGGTCTTAAAGTCTGTGCTTTCATAGACTGTAAGGCCGGAAGGGACCTCGGAAGGACATAGGGTCCAGCCCCCTGCACCGGGCAGGGTGGCTCCACTGGGGCACGAACCCAGGACCTTCTGCCTGTGAAACTCAGGGAATGTGAAGAACTTAGCTCTTTCTTATATATACACGTATATAAATATACACACACACAAAGAAAAAAAATGAAGGTTTTCACATTCCCGAAACACAGACTTTAAGAACAATGCCAACAACTATGAGAGCTGGCAATACATGTGGATCACAGACTTCACTGTGCTGAATAGGCTCCTCCCCCGCCCAATTCCAGACGGCCGCTCAGGCTGAGGCTATGCGAGCAGGAAGGTCTCAGGGCCCCTGACGGGCCAGGCCGCACCATGTGCGCAGCGCGGTGGAGGAAAGCAGCCATGCAGGCAAGGCCTGGGTGACGTCACAAAACGAGCAGCCTCTCCCTCCCTCACGAGCCGCACAAGCACCAAGGCATCCCATCATGCCCCGCGCCGCCCCGTTGCCAAGCCCCCCAGAGAAGCTGCTGCTAACAAAGCAGGGTGGGGTCGGGGCGGGCGCGCAGGCGTAGTGCGCGCAGGCAGCCGATTGGCGGGGCCGGGGCGCTGCGCAGGCGCCTTGGTGCCTCCCGCACGGGGAAAGGGGGTGGGGTGCAGGCGCAGCTGGAGCGGTTGGCGTTGGCTGGGGGGTGGTTGGAGCGCGGGAGCAATGGACGAGTTCCAGTCGGGGGAGGAGGTAACGGTTGTCGGGGCCGGGCAGCGCTGCCCTGAGTAGGGTTTAATGGCAGCCTCCCACTACCCGCGGAGAGCGTGGAGCTGGGCCGGGCTCGGGGGCGGATGACAACAGGCAGCCGGGTGGGGGAGCAGCATTTGGGGCCCAAAGCTTACCCGCCGCCTCCCCCAACTAGCCAGCAAGTCATAGGGCCAGAATAAACCCCGTCGGTAGAAGCCCCCCATCCCAGTGACTCCTCACGGACTAAGGAAGATATCTGATGTAAAACAGCCCCAAAACCTTGAATTCCCCCCCCCCTTTTTTTTTTTAAAGAAAAACAAAAAAGAGAGAAGCTTACTTAGTACTCCCATTTGGATAATAACACTCACTGGCTGGAAAACGGCTATGAATTTTTGAGCGTTTCCATGCTCTGCTCAGAGCTGACACTTTTCATTTGTTTTGCAGACTGCTTTCGTGGTGGATGAAGTGAGTAACATCATTAAAGAGGTGAGGCAGTGAGAGGTGCCACAGCATTCTCGGCAGGAGCTTTTTTTTGCTACTTAAACACAATGCAACTTTGAATGCTAATGTGTCTGTTAGCGGGCGCTAGAAATGGATCCTTTCTGTGTCTTGACTTGGACCTGAAATATCCCCAGCGTGATTTTCAGGATGTCCTTGAATGTGGGCTGGATTGCCAGGGGTCTGACGTGCCATCAGGCCCTCTGGGCTACGTGAGTAGTGTGGGTCTGGACCGTGGGCCAGGTCAGGCCAGCTGTTGGATTCAGTGCGTGGGGCCAGTACGGGATGGGAGCAGCCTGCCTCAGGCAGCCTGCACCATGTACCAGGTGCTGCCTGCGGAGCCAGTCAGACCTTCAGGCATAGGCTGGATGATCTCCACAGGCCAGATCTTTGACACCCCACTTTAAATACAGACTTTTAAATGATGGAAACCCTGTATATGCAAGGGCCTATTTTTTGTTTGAGCTTAAGTTTTGTGTGGACCCTGAACAAGAAAGCAGGTTAGCTTCTGGGGGTCCTCTTCTCAAGGTGTGTTTTATTTTCCTCCCCTGCCCCTACGTATTTGATTGTACAAGCAAAATCTAGTGCATTAGAAGTGAATGCGTTATAGCTGAACGTTGCTAAGGGACTTGTGTTTTGTATGTTGAACTTCCAAGTTTGTGGTAACCGTGGTTCCTTTTGTAGACAGTTAATACATTGAGAGGTGTGTTTGCAACATGACGTTCAAAACACAGACCTGTAGTTCTGTAGCCTTGATCAGGCGTGCCTGTCAGTAGAATAAATACATTTGGCAAAATGTACTACATTCTTCTATGAATGTGGGAGGCTTTTCCTAAGTACTGTGTTATCTTATTTCTTGGATTCCTCTTTAAAGAAGCAAGCTAAAGCTGCTATAAGCAAAATAGTAGTTTCAGTAGTATCAAGTGTACCTGCTTCCGAATCCTGAATCTCAGTTATGTAGGCTTCATAGTAAGTAGTTGGGTAGGCATTTCTGCCTCAGTTCTTTTCCTTAAAGATGATGATGTGCAGTACGACTAGTCTTATTCTGTCGTATCAATAGTCAGCAGTTACTGGTTTGTGAGGGGGTGGAATGTGTGTGGTCTTCACAAGACACTTTTTTCTAGTGAAAAATCAAATTAAAACAAAGTTCATATTCTACTTCTTGATCCAGCTCTTTGCAAGAAAACTTACAGTGATACCCAGTGAATATCTGAATCTCTGTGACTTTTTGAAACAGAGTGACTACTTTTGCAAGTGCAGGGTATATATTTCCCAACTTAAATTTGGGAACTGGGGTGAGGATGTCCAGGAAAAACAGGAGTTAGAATAATAAGCAAATGCTGAAGCTAAAATAAATATGACAAAGTGGAACACCTTGCTGAAGCTTTGCTCCTACATTTTTGATAGCTTCTGCTGTGCAGTTGGACTATTTTAATTAAACACCATTGTATTTTTTATAGTTAGTTAAATGCCATATTATCAGTAAGTTTAGTATCTAATATTCAAAAGTGTGTAGTACTAAATAGCTATTAAAGTTCCTTAGCCAAGTGGTGCCAGTACATTATTTTGGTCATTTTTAGGCCATAGAAGGTGCAATAGGTGGCAATGCCTATCAACACAGCAAAGTAAACCAGTGGACTACAAGTGTGGTGGAACAAACTTTGAGTCAACTTACAAAGCTGGGGAAGCCGTTCAAGTACATTGGTAAGTTTTGTTTAGTTATTTGAGTACTGGAAAAACTGAAGTTCAAAGCTCCCCATATAGGCAGCTTATTTAAAGATGAATGGCAAAGCTTTCACTTAAAGATCCTGGTGGTTACTAGTTTAGGGGATCAACCTAGTACAGCTTTTTAAATTGTGAATTAACATGATAAAAAAATGGTTATAAAACTGCTTATTGCCACGCACATTATTTATCAAATAAAAACGACAGTATGGCAGTCAGCCTAGAGCATAGCATTTTGTACACAATGGCTAGAGTACTTTTTTCATTTTTGGGTAGAGAACTGACAGGTAAAGAATAAGGGTATGTAGTGCTAGCTCTGAAATTGAAAACAGGATAGCTGCAGCACTACACCCAAGCTAATTCTCCCTGTTTCTTCACAGCTACACTGGTTCCAGGACCTAAACTAGCACTTCAAAACTGCATTGTATTGACCAGAAATTGTGCTATGCAAGCAGCAAGTGTGCAGTGCTGCATTATTGTGTAGGGATCCTCAAA